TTTTTGTTAATTTCTATTTTGTTGCTCTTTTTTATATTTTTTTAATTTAGTTTAATTTTTTTAATTTGTACCTTTATCCATGGCCAAAATCAGGTAACGACCAAATAGTTTCACTCTGCTTTAATATTTTTCTTTTAAATAGTGTGAAATACTCTTCAAATCTTATTCAGTGAAAAACTGTTTAAAATTGCTTCGGTGGAAACTAAGAAAGTAAGGGAAATTTGTTCAAGGTGAGTGGTCACCCTGATATATTTCAAGATTTTTGTTGTGGTCCAACCACCTTGTTAGAGAGACCGTGAACAGAGAACTAAGCCTCCAAAAATGTATTAGAAGTTTGTAGAACTTATTTTGTAGAACGTTAAATTAATAAGGATGTACCTTTGGGAACTTTAAAACCATGCATTGATTCCAAGTTAGGACATGATGGATCAGCATAATGTGTGGATGTGGTTTGATTTCTTTGTAACATGTAGCAGAATTATACAATTTTGCTTGGTTTGGGGAACAAAAAGAAATCACAAGCGGGATGGGTAACCTGTTCAGTGTTTGAGAAATGTTTATTGTTCTTGCAGCTGTGTGAGCAGGAACATTGTTTGTGGTGCAGGCAAAAATTGTGACCTTGTGTTGGACTTCAGATGCTTTGATGTCCCCACTTTTTGCAAGCATTGGTGTCAACATACCATTCAGCAGTGACAGTGCTCATTGGCTCCTAAAGTACAATAGCACCATTGACCTTTTGTAAAAAAATAGCAACCATTTTCTATTTTGCTGTTGCGATCCCTACTTTATCTTGAAAGCACCATACACTTGCCCTCTCTTTTAGTTTTCAGTTTGCGGTGGTAAATCCATTCATCTGTATACAATGCTGTAAATGTCTTTAGATTGCAGTCCATCAATTTTTTTATATGAATTTGTACCAGTCCTCCCTATAGATTTTGCTCCCCCTGTCAACTTATTGGTAGCCCCAGCGAGCACCATGCTTTGTGAGTCAAATGTTGATGCCCAACGGACCAATATTTAGTGTTAGTCCAACATCAGCAAATGCCAGGTGCGGGTTCTTCTGTCACCATTCTTCTCATAAACGTGATATTTTCTTCTCTGGGCTGCAAACGGCGTGGGACGTTCAGAGTGTGGTTAAAAATTATTTGAGGAAAGGAAGTTCTCTCATGTAGTGACCAGTTTTTGCTTTGTATTATGTAAAAATATAAATTAGCTTTTTTTGTTGCAGATTACACAAGAGGACGCATCAAAGTAGAGGATGTAAATGATTTTTATTTCAATCTCTGAATTTCTACAATCATCAAAAAAATATAGTATGGTGAGAAATCGTAATATTTGAAATATGAGATAAATTATACGATGTATATAAACAACAGGAACATTTGATGTCCAGGTAAGGAAAGCCATTTGTTTAGTAAGAATCTGTATAACCCATATATGTAGATCCCAAACCACCCCTGTCTTTTCCTCATTCTCATCCTATGAAAGAAAAGATTGTTAGTGAAACATTTTTTTATGAATTTGAAATACTGCCTGTCTGCGGTTCGAAATGATCCAAACTCCACCTAAACCAGAAGAGCTCTTCAAAACTTCCATGTGTCCAATGTACTATAGAAGATTCGAATATAACTTTTTTTATTAGAATGCACCAT